ATAAGAACCGAAAAGTGTGGGTTACAGGAGGCACTATCCATTATTACGTGTGCACACGCGGAAGAATGATTTAATAGTGGCACGTAAAGATGTATATCGTCTTTACGATCGACATCATTAAAAAGCGCCGATAAACCATGCGATTGTCGATAGGAGGGATATATATATACACCTTGCGCCGTGCGGCTTTCGTTCTCTCGCGCCTCCTACGCTACGCCTCTGCATTAACTGGTTTCTAATTATCGGAAATTAGGTTTAGATAAAGCCGGCTCTCCTCGTCGCGCTCTTTTTATCCGTGGGCTGCTAATTTCGATAACGTGCCGCGCTACAACGCCTCGCCGTTATCAAAATTTACTGCGAATCGATTGCGTTGCCATAACGCGCCTACGCGCGAATGTGGGGCGGATAATAAAAGCGGGGGGAGGGGGAGGGGGAGGGGGAAAGAGCGGACAAGGTCGCCATGCCGAAGCGGCGACACACAAATGTCAAGGGATCCTGACATAGTTTTGACTTCCTTCAAAGTGAACGATTGCCGGCCGTCATGCGTTCTCGCCGTTCTCGCTTATCTCGCGAACGAACGGACATGCATATCTACAGAGTGCATTCTGATCTCCTTACGAGACTCGAATAATTTTTTTCTTTTTCAACAACAATACTTTGAGAACCCAAGAGCCAAAGGTTAATTTGTTTCACCGAGTCTCGCACAATCGTTGACTTTAATGCCACCGCCGAGATCGCTTTGCAGGCCTTCAAGATATCACAATCGTTCGGTACGTGACTTTTCAATTATCTCGCCCGTATCACACACATCTCCATGCACTTGGGAAACGATTTATCATTCTTAAGCTTTCTTCTTTTTTTTTTTTTTTTTTTTTCGTAAGGTATATTAAAAAGCTATCCATCAACACCTCATAATTAACGCTTCTCGAAAATAATATCTTCGATAAATATCGCGTTAATTAATCTTTACATATATAAAATGTACGGTCAATATTGGCAATCACAAACGAGCATAAATACTTGTAAATGATGTTTACGATCGTGAAAAATCGCTGCGTGAATACTTTGGAAAATTATCGTGGAAATTTATCTGCCGATAAGTACAGTGCAGCGAGTCGGCGCAAGACACTGTCAGTCACTAGAAAAACGATTAGATAGCCGAAGTATGGAAAATACTGCGTGTTCAATATTGCCGAGATTATCACTCGGTCTCGGCAGGCACGAATGCCCGCTTCGATACACTTTGCGATACTAAAACCGGCATAGATACTTTATGAGACAAGTATCAATAAATTACATCGCCCCAAACGTTAAAGAGCACGGTTTACTTTTCTCCCCTGCCGGCCATAATCCGCGAATAATTTAAAATATCCTGAAATATAAGCTCAATTTCCGATCGTGCGAGCCTTCTCGTTTGCGACACATCGAAAGTTTCCAGGATGACCAATTTCGGAAATAATCGTTTCGCCCTTCGTTTTCACTTGGAATTCATCCGCGCGATTGTCTAATAATCTCGTTCGAAAGTCGCTCGTTGTCGAAACGTTTACATATTCATCACGTAAGTTAGTTCGCAACGAGATATCAAACAAATGGAGGAACCTTGGTACTTGTTTTTAAATGTCCATCCCTATTTTATGACTTTACGCCCACGTTCACCACGGTGACCGATAACAAATGTTGGTGACAATGTCGCGGTGATTATCATCGCCGAAAGAGATATAAAACCTTCTTTTTCGACAAGGCCAAAGTCGCGAGATTGTCTGATAAATGTCTATTCGCGTACAGAATATATGCGTACGTTAAAAAAAAATAGAACATTATGGAAAGATTATACATAACGACATTTATTATTGGTGAAATATATTTATTCGAAAGCAAATTGTTATCTTTTCTAATAATTAAAAAAAAATGTTCAAGTAACGAATACATTGGATAGATCAATTAATGAGAAGATAATTTTTAATTAATAAAGTGTGTCAGAGAACACTAAGACAAATCGTCAAAAAAATGATGGAAATATAAATAAAAATTAAGAAATAAAAAATCAAGCGTTGTTATCATGCGCAAAAATTTAATAATACATACTTATTCCACATTGAAAACCAAAATACATAACATAACAAAATCGGTTTTGTATTTCTTAAATTTTAATTATATTCTTTCCTTCGATATATCAGAAGTACGCGAGATTAAAAATTTGTTTGGATATAACGGAATAATGCGGAGTCGTCGACGTTGTACCTAATGCCAAGGCCGGAATAGATAAACAAGAAGTGACCAAATTAAGTTATGCGTGACAGGACAATGTAAAACTCGCGGTCATGTCGGCAAAATGGGAATAAGTTAATCATTAATCGACGAGCGAATAATTAAGGTCGCACGTCGCAGATTACGAAGCGGCGTTCGAGTAATGCGCTTATCGATAAAAGCGTACGTGCCGCACGAGGATGCGAGGCTCGGCAAACAAACACGCGCGCATACGCACGCACGCACGCACGCACGCACGCACGCACGCACGTACGGACGCATCGCGGCCTTTGTTTCCGTAAAAGCCGAAAAGATCGCGGATAATCGCGAGGCCATTGAATCCACCGCTTCCGCTAAATTCACATTCGCGGCCAAATGCACAATCGCGCGACTATACGATCCTTGTCCATTTCAGATCTGCCAGATTGCAGATGGCTTCGTGCCGATCCCGAGCGATCGCCTCTCAATGAAGTCGTATTATTTTCTAATACAACATATTATTTTACAAATAGATTTCAGAGACAAACGGACTATAAATGCGTCCCGCTCGTGACGGGATGGTTATTTCCGAAAATACAGTGTCATCGAGAATCTCACGCGGACGTTTATAGATTCGCTACGATCGAGAATATTCGATCTACAAGGATTCTGCAGTGTCATATTTAAACAGATGTATCCTTGAGGGAAAAGAAGCGCTCTGTATATATGAGATAGTATCGATTATCGTATAGATTATAAAATGTGGAATTGCAAACGAGAGAGGTTAATTGTCAATAATATTTGAATAAGATCCAAATATCTATCCGATATTATTATTATTATTATTATTATTATTATTGTTATTATTATCGCGCGTTGCTCTCAGTAATCTCATATCGTTAGATTCTACGCGTAACGCGCATTTACATCGCTCCGCTTTATCTACTTGTAGTACTCGCGATGAAAGTAGTCAGGTGGTATTTAAAAAAAAAAATTCGCAAGGCGAGATGGGATCTTGACGGTCAATTTTCAATCTTGGATATCTCGATTCTTGCGGGGAAGGGGAGAGTCCTGGTGAACGAGAGCTGTTAATACGTCGACTCGTAATGCGTTATGACCTACAGAGAGCCATAGAGCCTATCGAAGATTACAGCGGACGTGACTTTCTGCTTCTCGTCGACTCGCGCACGCGTCCACGAACGGATGATCGTCTCTAAATACCGCCTCCACCTCCTCCTTCTCCACCGTCTCGTTTCCCCCTTCGTTCCGTCGCGTCGTCTCCCGCGTGTCTTTTGCTCGCTCTAATCGGGAGTCCCCCCCGAGTGCCACGAGAGCGCAGAGCGCGAGCAGGACGGAATGACACGTCTTTAAGAACAATCGCCCGTTGTGAAAGCGTCTCGTCGTGTCGGTCGGAATATCCAGCATCGCAACGTAATGAGAACGAGCGAGCACAAGAGAGTAAGCGAGAGAGAGAGAGAGAGAGAGAGAGAGAGAGAGAGAGAAGATCGCGGGCGTTTTCCCGCCGATCGATATATCCGAGAGAGCCGCGTTGATCGACGCGGGATTTCGTGTCGATGCCAAGTTTCGCCCTTCGCGGGGAAAAGGACTCCGCGGTGAACATCGATAAATAATTAACGACTGCCTCACTCACTGCACCGCCGTTCTATTGACTACTCGTGTTACTATAGCGCTCGCTGGTAGTAGTGCACTGGCGCGTTTCGCGAAAATTGCACGACTCGAGAAACGCGATACGTAACACATCACAGCAACGGCGGAGAGATCCGGACTCGCGGAGAAACGCTCTCTCGAAATATGGAGAGAGAAATGAGAGGATTTTTTTGTTCTCTTTTTCTCTCTCTTCTTTCTACTCGTAAAATTGAATTTCTGCGCGTATGACGAGAGGAGACGACGATTCTCGATATCTTCGATTCTCGACTCGAGTAGCGAGACTCGACAGTCGCGTTCGTTTGAACAAACGAGCGCGAGCGACTTTCGAGAGGGTAATAATTTCGTTTGACCGAATGAAGAGGATTCGTGTCATGTCGCACTGTTCGATCGAACTTTACTGTAATCGTAACTTGATCATCACTTGGCAATTGAAAAAATTTTAAGTGATGATTTTTCTTCGGACGCTACAATGAGGTTATGAATGAGAGAGAGAAAGAGAGAGAGAGAGACTGCGAGATGTAATCTCGAATAAGTCGAGATATTTGAGAGATCGCCAGGTATAGGCACGAGTCTCCTCATCCGTTAGTTCGTTAGAAACTTCATCCGCGTGTCGAGATGCATAGAGACGGGAAAGAAGCGCGCCAATGGTCGCACCGGAATAATCCTAACAATCTCCGCGCGTCAACGCGTTTCAAAGTACAAGAAAGAAAAAAAAAGAAAAAACTCACCTTTGCAACGACCGCAATAACGCATTATCCTTGATCAGAGACGGTCGCGAAGGCAGCTCCTCCGCACGATGAAACGTAATCCAAGAATGAATGTCGCGCAAATATGTATGTATACGTGCGTACGTACGATACGTACACATATATATAAATATATACGCGTGGGCAGATACGGAGAAGTTGCACTTAGATCACACAGAGCACACTGTTTTCCCTCGCGCGAGCACAGGCGATCACCACGGTGCTGCTGCTGCTGCTGCTGTTGTTGTTGCTGTTCGCTCCGTTAATCGTCATCGTCCATCGGCAGGACGACGAACACTGTCACTAAGACGCTCGACACTGCGACGCCGGCCGTTCATCACCTCGTCATAGGCACATTATTATGCCGGGGAAACACGACGAAGACGACGCGACGGCGACGACACGATGCGATGCGACGCGATGCGACGCGACGCGACGCGACGTGACGTGACGCGACGCGACACGACACGATGACGACGACGCGCGGAATGTGCGCGGACCGAAGGAACACACAGGTAGCACAAACGACCACGCTCCGCACGAGCCACGAGCCAACTGAAGGCGATAACCGGTCGGCAGAGTGTTCCACGCGCGTGCGACTCGAATGCGATGCGCCGCTTCCCCCTCCCTCCTGCCCGCCCGTCCGTCCGTTCGTCCGTCCGTCTGTCTCTCCACCCACTCTATTACCCTCTTCTCCCTTTCGTGCGCGCCGAGTGAGAGAAGGGGTAGGACTTCTCCGCTCCGCGCGATATAATACCGGCCGTCGTCGGCCAAGTTCTTGCGGCGGCAAAGCCGCTACGACGGAAGGACCGACTCCGTCCTCGTCGTTGACGTGTCGCTCGCGTTGCTCTTCCAGTGGCGCGTGCTCTACGCTTCCTGTTCGCTTGTTATTCAAGCGGGTTACGTCTCTGCTCCGGTTGGATCGCGCGCTCACCGGAAGAAATATTCAAAGAGCGAGAAACGCACAACGGCCGCGTGCCAGTTGCCGGCGCTCCTCGCGATCTCCCTCTTCCGCCTTCTCCTTCTGCTCCTGCTGCTACTGCTGTTTCTACTGCCGCTTCTCCTTCTCCCTCTCGGCCCGCCACCGCTGCCGCCACCGCCGCGCGCGCCCGTTTCACCTCTTTCTTTCTCTCGCGCGTGCGAGATTCCCGTCCGCGGAAACTTTATTTATATCCACCGGCCGCGGCGGTCGCGCGCCTCAGTCTGTCACGGCGCGTAGCGTCGGCGCGGCGCCGCTGCGCGCGTCTTGAAGTAACGAGGGAAGACGGCGAATGACACGACGACGACGACGACGACGACAACGACAACGACGACGACGACAGTGCATCCGGTCGCGAATGCACGTCCCTCGATTGAAAATCGCTCTTCTCTCTTTCCTTTCCTTCAGTCAGCGAACAAGCGCGGAAGAGCCGGGGATACAAATGAGAGGGTTTCCTCGCGAAGATGTCGCGAGGAAACGGAAAAGAAAAAAAAAAAGAAAGATACAGAGAGGCGAGAGAGCGTCCTCCTCCTCCTCAGGTATTCGCGGACGGCTGATTCCGACTGCTCGGCTAACTGACTACTCCGCTCCGGGTAGTAGCATTGGCCCCGTGCTAAACGGTTGAAAGTAATACTGTCTAGTGAGAGGCTGTTGGGAGTTGGGACCCCGACGGCGTCGTTCTCACTCGCTCCCTCCGCCGCGCGTACGCGGGTCTCTCCCTCGCTCCCACGTCACCTTCTCGCTCCTACCGTCGCGCGCTCCTCCATCTCCGTCGCGCGCGCCGCGCGGTGTGCGTCCTTGTTCCGCGTCGATTCGCCGTCACGTCTCATATACACAGATATAAACATACACGTATATGCCTCTGGCACGTATACACCGATTTCTCTCTCCTGTTGGGTGGGTGAACTCCTTGTCGAAGACAGAGGTAGAGTGGACGGTACGAGCACCGTAGTATAGCGATGGGTTTCGCCGGTGTGATGGTGGGAGAAGCTTGACACATACATGACACACATATACACAAATAGAGGGAGAACACGGCGACGCGCTCAGCCATCTGGTGGAAGGAGAGCGTAATCAGGAGGTAGGGGGACCCGTTGTGCCGAACGAGGGGAAGGAGCGATAGAGCGCGACGCGTGATAAGGGTGGACGAGCGTCGGGGCGAGAACGAGACGGAGCAGGACGCGCAAGGGTTGGATAGCAAGGGGTCGCGCTCTCCTCGTCCGTGCGATCGAGGGGTGTCGATCACGGTGGGGCGGTGCATGCGCCTGTGTGCGTGGCGCGTAAGTGTGGAGCGTAAGTGTGTGTGACCTGAGAGAGCTCTAGTTCCCCTCCATTCAATCCACGGCCACAATATCGGTTATAGCGAGCCACTGTTGCCAGATTGCGCGCCTCGACGGCGACGACGGCGGCGGCGGCGGCGGCGGCGGCGGCAGTGGCTGCGGTAGTGGTGGTGGTGGCAGTCGTGATAGTGGTGGTGATGGTGCCGTGTGGGTGGAGCCACAACGATAGAGGGAAAGGTCCCCCCTTTCGTCCTTCCCCGCCTACCGTCCTCTCATCCAACGCGTCACCGTGCGCCGTTGTCCTCTTCTCTCGGCCTCGTGCTGGCTGCCTCGATCCGAGAAACCAGCGGCGTCCGTCGCCGTCTCTGTCGCGCGCCTCCCTCCGCTCATCCGTCCGTCTTTGTCCATCGCTCGCTCTTTCTGTGCGCAACGGCGTTCGTCCTCCGTCTTCCGTTGTGTCGAGCCTGCTGCCGCGGCCCGTGTTGTCTCGCTACCGGGATCCCTACCCGAAACCCCGGCCGCGTGCAGAGCGTTTCTACGTGTGTCGGCGAGAACTTATGCACCGGCAGGTATGCGTGGCCTGTGTGTCGATACGTCTCCCGATGACACGTCGCTCGTACGGCATGTAGATGTGGGTTCGTCGTCTCGAGTACAACAGGCTCCTCGCAGACAACACCGAGACGAGCGGGAGCACTCGTGGTAATTCGCGTCCGAAGCTACCGAATCATGCCAATCCTGTCCTTTAACAATCCGTACGCATAAATCGATCGCATTGTTAAATTGAAATTTGTTTGTGTAACTTTATGCAATTTTGCATATTTTTTAATTTTTTAATACTTTGTCCTTCGACATAATCTATATCTACATATCTCTATACCTACATAGGAATAAAAATGAATTTATGGAGTGACCTCTAATTTGATCTCCTAGAATTTCTAAAATCCCTTTCAGTAATGGAAAAGTGAGAGATTTGAAAGAAATGTGAGAAATGCATGAAAGTAGAATTATCAAAAGACAAATCTTTTACGATCGTAAAAATTTTGCTAAATTATTTTTATTTTCCAATACTCTGTGATAGTTATGTTTTACAATATACTGTGAATTCTTTTACACATAATTTTTTCCTTACTTCTTCGACAGTATTAGAAAATTCTAGATACAGTAATTTCTATCGGTGCCCAAACTAGGCGCGAGATACATCAACAAAACACGTTTGTATACACGCTGCTCAAAATCATTAATTTTAACTGGCATATTGGCACCAGTCGTGACAGACACGCGAGACTCTTCCTGAAAGCAACCGAAACCGCGGGCGAGACAAATAGGCATTCCAGATTTATACTCTCTGACGTATAGTGAGAAAAATGTACCGCATGTACGAGCGCGCACGCACGTTCCGTTAATATATTCCCAAGGCATCTTTTCTCTCTCTCTCTCTC